ACTTGCCCAAGGTCCACACAGGATCAACAGAAATGGCTAGGACTAGCTCAAGTGCCTGGAGTCCCGGAGCCCTCTTATGTGCTTCTCCACTTCCCACCCCCCTCAAGAAGCCCGCTGCTCAGAGCAGAGCCCTTAATGCCAGACACAGCAGCAGCTGGCACCGCCATAGGGCATGCAGCATCAGAGGGTCTTGCCCAGCTGGGCTCTCTCCAGGTGCCATCCTGTGCCCCTTCCCCTTTCCTAGCTGTGTGTGCCTGGGCCCCAGCTCAGCTGACATTAGGGAGTATTTGCAACATTCCAGGACTCTTCCTTGCGTTTTCCGAGTAGTGGTGCACTCTGTCCTCATCACAGGCCCAGAAGGAAGCTACCGACAGAGTCTGTAGTGTTTAGGAGTCTGTCCTCCTACAGGAGCCTATGAATCCCACGGGATCCATTATGGAAGCTTGCATGACCCTAAAAAGATCCTATTACCCTGGGACTCTCAGGGTTCAGCAGCCCGTGGACCAGAGGGTTAACAGACTGGATGAATTGGTTATTTGCTGAGCCTGGAGAGCAAGAGGCCGTATTTCAGCCCTCAGTCCATCGTGAAGGTCACCAGTGTCCGCCCCAGTCTGTGCCCCTCCCCCGGCTGTGACATCAGGACCAACGAGGCAGAACAACCTGTCTCCATGACACGGCCTAGGCCAAGGGCAGCAGGGCTGCGGAGGCCGCTGACAAAGGGCTCTATGGACCCGCCTCTGCTGCCCTGCCCTGGCCTCACACACAATAGAGGGGCCTTTGCCAGGACACTGGGAAACACCGCGGACTTCAGTCCCAGACCAGCCCCCGCTCAGATGGGCTCCAGAAAGGGGGAGGAGGAGATGGGCTGAGGCCGGAGGTTCCGGGTTCGTTCTGAACCATGCTGATGAGGCTGACCTGGAGACCTGGCTTTGCCTGTGCTCTCCGTGCCGGGCCTGCCCCCTCCTCTCTGAGTCCTCCAGGACCCTGCTCCCGTCCCACCTCCTCAGGCTCCAGCGAGGCAGTCCATGCCATCCGACTCCAGGGCCCTTCTTTCTGGCTGCATCCAATCCATGCACTGAGGCTTGGCCAGAGGAAGTCGGACTCTGCCTTCCAGACAGGTGTGCCTGGCCAGTCCAGGAGCAGCTGCCTTGATTCCAGAAGACACTGTGGGTCCCCTCCCCTCCCC